TATATATATAGTATATATATATATATATATATATATATTCATACCAATAAGTACCTTATAATTCAATACAACTTATATTTACCCAACACAATCGCTTCCCACCCTCCACCTACCGGTCTCCTAGCCTTCCTGGCAGACTGTACACTAGCCGTCGATGTGGTCCGCGGTACTTTGACGTTGCCTTTGCGTTGCGTTTGCTGCCCTTTTCGCCTCTTCTGATTGGTTCGTGGCGGCGGCAGTTCTTTTATCGTCGCATCTGATTGGCTGGATGTCAAAACCGCCGCGGGCGACCTGCTCTCACCCGACGCGGCGTGTGTGGTGTCAGTGTCCGTGACAAGATGACGTATTCTATTTTTAGGTTTTCTGGTACTGGAGAGCTGAATGCCCTCCTGGCGGCCATGCGCAGCCTCCGAGTTACTATTTTTAGACGTATTCTGATTGGTTGATTTCCTTCTCCCCCTTTTCTTCACACTGTGAAGTACTGTACTGTCCTCCACGGGAGCAGGTACCGGAGAGGTGCCGACACTGCAGCCACCCGCGGGGTCTGCAGTAAAACTTGGTTTATCGGGGCTTAAACCTGGTTTACGGCCGCTGGTCCCCTTCACCCCTCCCCCGCTAGTCCGCCTCTCACACGTCCCATCGCCTGTACTCGTACGCCCGAGTGCGCCCGTCTCTAAGTCCCTGGCCCCACTCACAGCCACCTCGTCTGCGTGTGGGGGTGCTGTCCCGTTCTCGTTGCTGTCCTGCGTGTCTTGGGTTTCTGCACCCGTGTCCGCCTGGTTGTGGGTCTGCCCGTGGCTGTAGCCCTGGCGGCGGGGTGCAGGGTCCTTGCGCCTATGTTTCTGCTTCTGCTTCTGCTGCTGCTGCTGCTGTGTCTGTGTCTGTGTCTGTGTCTGTGTCAGGCCGCGACCGTGACATTCACCCACCGTGTGTATCCACGAGTTGTCGTCCGAGTCCTCTCCGCTGAACAACGGCTTGTAGTAGGTGGTGCATGAGGTCTCGTCCTTGATGGGAATGCGCTTCTCTATCCTCTGGATCACTTCTCCGCTGCGGTTGTAGCATCGCCGCGTTTGTTGGATGTAGTGCTCTTGGGAGACCTCGACTTTGTAGATACGGAACCGTTTGGGATTAGCCCCGTCCAAGGGGGGCACGACTCGCCTCTCCTGCAAGGGGAGTGTGGGAAGGATACAGGCGGATGGCTTTTGAGTACGGACAGGTGGGCATATGATATGCTGGAATAAACGACGTGTTTGCATTTGATACGAAGGAATGAAATGAACGACATGTATACAACTGGTATGCTGGAATAAACATCTTGTATACAACTGACATGCTGGAATATACGACAGTACCGTATAAAAATCCATACCGCAGACCAGAAATATTCACGTCACCCATCGCTAAGTGGGGCACTTGCTCTCCGCCTCAACCACACCCGCGACAATACTCCAAGACAGCGGTACCACACACTTGTTGCATCGCGATGAGTGGCCACTTTTGTAGGTAGACAACACCACACAACACCAACACACAGTCCTGCATCTCACCACTTGGAGGGATGCTGGTCATGCAAATCATATCCAGTGCCTCCTCAAGGACCTCTAACACAACACAACTTTCTCTGCTATAAAGTAACACGCGCATGAAAGATCAATACATCCAGACAATGACAAATGATATGCTGTAGTAAAGGACATACGACAAACAACCGTACACCACAGGCCTCTGCATGAAAGATCAGTACAGCCAGAAAATAACTAATGATATGCTGTAGTAAACGACATATGACAGACAACCTCTACACACCGCAAGCCTCCGCATTCAAACAATTGTACACATACCATGCTCGAGCGCTTCCTCTTAGCCGAGCCGTTGTGAAGCTGAGTGACGCGCCTGTTCAATAGCTCGCATGCACTGTACGTCTCCTGAGATGACTGGGGATCGCCCGAAGTGGCCGCTGGCGGGCTGTGGGTTGTAGTTGTGGTGGTGGTGGTGAGGTTATCGATAGTACTTTCCTCAGTATGAAACGCCGGACGGTCCGCTATATCACCTGCGGCATTGCTTGTCGCATGCCCTCCAGTGGGGCTGGGGATACGGCCCAGGGGTAACGTCCCGGTATTGATTGCGGGACGGCCTGCGGGGTCGTTCGCCTGCTCGCTTGCCGCAGAACCCCCAGCACCAGAGGTGCCCAATGCACTACCGAGAGTGCCGCTCACGTGTAACACAGGGCGTGTGCCTCTGCGTCTCCGCTTGTTGGTGTTGGCGGCTATGATGGCGTCTATAGACGAGTGCGTGCGTGTGTCTGTCGCTGTGCTGAGGCTGGACGCGTGCCCAGGGTCTTTTTGCAAGGTTTTGGGGTCTACCCCAGGGTCTGCGTGTGCGTGTGCGTGTGCGTGTGCGTGGGTCTGTGGGTGGGTGTAGGTGGGTGCTGTCGTATGTGTGAGATCACTACTGTCTTGGACTCCGTTCCCATCAGATGGCACCGTTCCATACGCCGTAGTGCTGGCAGACGCAGGTTTCTCTGCAATCTCATTGGTCGACACCAATTCAGCCGCGGTGTCACAGACAGACTCTTCTCCCTCGGCCCTCTGATTGGCTGCCGTCACCATCTCTGTATTCCCATTGGTAGCTGCATCCCCCTCCGTTCTCCCACTACTGGCACCCAGTGCTTCCTTTGCGGACCCTCTGTCCCTTACACTCTCGGCTCTGTGTACTGTGTTCCTCGCCACTTCACCCCCACGTTCATGGTGTGCACCTGTTAACATTATCGAGTTCCCAGCGCTCGCTACGCTATCCGTCGTAGCCGTCCCCGCCCTTATCTCCGCATGGCCCTTCTCTCTACCACTCTCGACAGTATCTTCCGCACCTTCGACACCAGACAGGCCAGCGGAGTGTCTATTGGCATAGGTATAGACAATTTGGTCCAGTAGTTCGTTGGTCAACCCCCCCTGGACCTCCACCCCACCTTGCTTATTCGTGTTTGGCTCCGCATTGGTCGCAGTCTCAGACGCCTCAGCAGTGCCTGTGTCCTCCTTCTGAGCTTGCCCAGCCGATTCTCCGGCAGGACCACTAGCCTCGCCCTCCGCACGGTCCGATACTACAGCGGCCCTGTCCTTTTCATTTAGGGCAGGTCCCGGTCCGGTACCTGTGCTAGAACCCTCCTCCAGCCCAGGTACAGACCCGCCACTCGCACGCTGCTTGTGATCATGATCGTGGTCGTGGTCGTCGTTGTGTGCGTCCTCGTCCTTCTCGCCATCGTCCATCAACGACGAAACAGAACGCACATCCAGATCCAGATCAACCGTCTCTGCGTACGCCGACTTATCAGATACATACCCATCCCCTACCCATCCCTCGTCCCCTACGCCATCGCCTTCACCGGCTTCGAATGTTCCTGCACTGTTTTCAGGGGTTTCTTCGACGTCTACGTTTTCTCTCGGTGATACTAAATTTCTCTCCTGTCCTTTTTCGGCATCTACATTGTCTCCCTGGGCTAGTACATTTTCCTCCTTGTTGTCCTCGTCATCTACGTTTTGCCCCTGTGCGTGTACATGTTCCCCCTGTCCCTGTGCCGGAGGATGTTCAGGGTATTGCTGAATGCCCTGAATGTTACCCATCGAATCATCCTGCGTCTCAAAGTAGTCAATCGTCCCCTTCTCCTCTGATTGTGGCACCTCCGTGTTCCGTTGCACACCCCTTCTATCCAATAACGGTACGTTTTTTTCCGATAGCGGTACGTTTTCTTCCGAAATCGGAACCTTCACCGCTGGATCATCTATTTCCTCCGGGAGCGGTACATCCCCCGACGCCTCCTCCAATTGCAGGACGAGTTCTTCTAATAGCGGTACTTGATCCAGAGACTCGTCCAACTGTCGCGCTCGCTCAGACATCATCAGCAGCGTGCGTGCGGCGGGTGACTGCGAGAAGCCCGAGTGTACGGCCACACTATGGCCTTTCGCCAGTGCTTTTATGATCGCACTTGGGCCATCAGCTGAACTATACATATTGTGAATATGCATCCGGGGGCTCTCGGAAAACTCCCCAAGAGGTGTGGCTTCGCTGTGTGGAGGTGTACGTGGCTTGTTTGGCGTGTCTTTGGTCGGTGCTTGTAAACTCCCATCACACCCACCGCCTGGCCCTTCTATCGTCGGGGTCGCATCAATCCCCGCAGCAGCAGTGCTTCCACGCTTATTCCGCGTGGTTGGCTTATTTGCCTTGCCTTGCTTATTTGCCTTGCCTTGCTTATTTGCCTTGCCTTGCTTATTTGGCGTGCCTTGCTTATTTGGCGTGCTTGCACCCGCTGCGGCTGCTTCAGACAACGTGCTTATCTCCCCCGGTACCGCACTTTGGCAAACCACGTGACATGTAGTAGAGGGTATTCGGGGTGCCGTACTCGACCCGAACTCCTTATCATGCGCGGTCTCTATGAAACTCGCCTGCAGATCCAGTGGCTTTGTTTCGTCTACATCCATTGCATTATCCGTGGTTGGCCGTACTGCTTTCGTCTGCGGCGGCGAAACCGGTACGGCGTGCGGTGACTCATCCCCTTGCGGATGTTCATGCTGACCTTCGCCATCGGCGCCGTCTCCTTGCTGCGGTTGCCCTCCTTCCACCACCTTCGAACTCATAGTAGAGCCCATAGTAGAGGTCACAGTACCTGCACCAGCCATCGTTGTAGCACGGTCACTTGTCGTATCTGTATGACTGGTAGCCTCACCCGTTTCCTCCGTCGCGGTATCGTCCGCTTGGCGTTTGGGCCGTGGACCGGAGGGACCCACGGGCGCAGAAGGGACAGCACCATCCCGTGCACTCGCACCTGTGCTAACCGTCGGAGCAGCTGTGCCAGAAGACTGTCCTTCTGTGGCATTTTGGGGCAGTGTCTGTCCCAGCCCCTCCGCCAAGCCATCTCTAAGGTCTGACAGATTACCGTCCACTATTTCGTCACCACCCGTTCCGCTTATTCGGACACTACTGCCGGATGGTCCCTTCGCATCGCTGATTGGGAGTGTTTCACTGGAGCCGTCTGTGCCCTCTGTGCTTAGGCGACAACTTCCGTCTCCACCCGCAACTACAGACGCAGTGCTACTCTCCGCCAGGCTTTGGTTGCCATGGTTACCCGCCCGTATACTACCCATCACTGTCGTCGCTGGCTTGTCTTGTGTGTCATCTAGGCCAGAGATATCCTTCTCCTTCGCCGTTGATACACTACTGGTTCGGCCAGACATTGACTTTGGGTCAAGACCCCTTCTCTCATCACACACATGGTCTCCCACCCCGCCCTCGCGATTATCTACGTGCGCAGCGTCTGATTTGTCCAAAACTCCGCCCGGGACCGGTCCTAAATTTGAGTCCACAGACGCAGATGTGGGAGGCTCCCAGCCGACTCCTGTCCCCGTATTTTGCTCACTCCTTAAAGCATTACCAGCATCCGGCGATTGGAGTGTATCTGTGGGTGCAACAGTACTGGTTGTTTCACCTAACGCCTCCTTCTCATCCGGTGCACCCGGGCCACTCGCCCAGAGGGCCGTGCGGGTGGCTTCTGGCACAGCTCCCGCTAGTGGGCTGTGGGGTGCCTGCGCCGCAGTCCCCTTGTGAGTGGCTGCTGTGTCTGTGACTGTACTGAGTTCACCTGCCCCACCAGGTGGTGCGTTGCTAAGGGCAGTACTAGAGTCACTGCACGGTGCTTGTGCTGGTGTGCCGGGCGGTGGTGTACAGTGGGCGCCACTCACCTCTACCTCTGTGTGTGTGGTAGCTATACTCGCCTGTGGAGTCTCGCCTATCTCATCGCCGTGCAGCACTGAATCCTGTACCTTTGAACCATGTGCACCTGTACCTGCACCTGCACCTGCACCTGCATTTCCGGGTGCTTCAGAGGCCATAAGATCCTTACCCGCAGAACGCTGGAGGCCATTCTCGCCCTCCCCTCCAACATCCGTGCCTCTAATTGCACCGTTCATGAGAATTTCTTGGCCACGTGGTGCGTCCTGTACCTCGCCACCTGTACTCGTGGCTGTATGAGCTCCGCTGTTTTTGCTGTGGTCTGGTTGCTTTGGCGCATGTGTGCTACTCTCATTGGTTGTGTGGTTGGTCTCGGCCGCTATACCTTCACCTGCCCTATCCGTTATCTCAATCCCCTCCTCCCCAACACCCGCACCAGGTATTACCGCCTTTTCCTGGCTCCGGCTTAGAAGCTTCTCCCCAATACTAGCCTTACCAGCGGTCTCCCCCACACTCTCACCCGTGCTGGTCTCAGGTGCATGCAGCCCTCTCTCCGCCTCGCTGCCATGACGCGTCTCCACATGCGTGGCAGGTACCGAACTGTCCCTGTCCCGCGCATTGGTACTTCTCTCTGTGTCGCCCTCCCTAGCCACACCCGCCATAGAGTCCTCATCCGCATCCACAGCCTCAATCAAGGCCGTATCTCTGGATGGTCCAACCGACCTGTCCTCTGCTGCTGTGTTTATTATATACGTTTCTGTCTTCTCACGTCCGGGTACATCCGGGCTTGCTTGGGTCTGCATGTGCCTATTTACGCTCGCGGATGTCTCCCAACTACTCTGCTGCCGCGTGAGTATATGCAGGCTCTCCTGCAGCTGTGCAGAGGTTGCGGGTGAGATGGTACTGTGCCGGCTCAGGGGGGCTCGTCGAGTAATCACAGTACTGGATGTTCTGGGGTCACCTGATGTATTGGTGGTAGCTGTGTGGCTGGTTGTACTGGCGGTGCTTATCCCCGGGATGCTGTGGGAAAAGGTCGGAGTGAGGCGAATGTTTCGAGTGAGTCAGTGCGACAGTCGGGGTGGGTATGAGGGTGGCTGGGTACATCAGGGGTTTAGGGTTTATGGCATTTTAGGTTTAGGGTTTTTGGGTTTGAACATGGCTCTATGCATCCGCACTGGATGAATTAACTCGTACATCAAAGAGCAACTTACACGACGTGGTACGCCCATGCACATACTCATGTACACATAAAAAAACACATACACACGTGTGTATATGACAATATGTCCATCTACAAATACACATCCATATAAAATAATTGAATGTATCTGAAAATCTATAAACACTAAACTTACTCATTCGCTAT